AAGTTTAGGATAATGAAGGCGATGAACAACCTTAAACTGAATTAGCTGATGCCTGCTGTTGATGGAGCAGGATGATATCATGGCCAAACTCTTATCCCACACAGCCTTTGACAGCCCAATACCCAACTCCTCCTCCCAAGCCTTTTTTATTTTATCTGTACTCAGAGGTTGCGATGCTGATGGGAGGAGTCAAAAATAAAAGAAGGGGAATTCAAATCTGAATTAACAATTAGTGCTGGGTGGTTAACAAAGCATTTTTTTTCCAGACCTGCAACAGATTTCAGCTTTGTTATCCGATCATGTAAAGTTGTTGTTGTTTCTAAAACAAAGCAGCTGGCCAGCGAAGCTGGGGGCGATGTCCCGATTGTACATGTAGGGCTCACTAAGTCGCCTGGGAGCTTGGTGTAACTCCTCATCTCAGCGTGTTGGGGTGAATAGCCTAAAACATTTTAGCAGTTCTGTTCAAGCTGGTGAAACTCTGAAACAGTTGCTGAATGATAAAATAAAGACTGGCCTTAAAAATGTGCACTCAAAAGTTGCTCTCTGCGTCAGTGAGGTATCAGAAAGTTCATCTAAGTTACATTAAACTTTTCTGGCCCTTCTTGCTTCAAACTGCTTTGTACTTGCCCATTATTAGCTAGAATGAGAGTGGCAGACTTAGCCCCAGCAAATTGCTCCTTGAACTCCATCAAAACGCTGATGTCGTTTTACAGAAGAGCAGATGCTTTTAAGACTGTGAGGCAGTGTCTATACACCCAAGAATCTTGGTTTGCATGTTGACCAAAAAAAAAATAAAGACAATGGGCTTATAGCATTCTTGGGGGAGAAAACATATTTATTGTGCAGGAATAAGGTCTTAGCTCTGGTACACTGGTAGCCAAGTAATCGACATTTCATTGTCAAGATTCACCTTGTGTTTTTTGTGCAATGACAATAAAGGAAGTATAGGTCTAAGTCTTGGGTGCACTTGTTTCACTACTCCACTTTTTTGTCATTGGTCAGGGATATTTTGATGAGCGCTTTTATAATCTCACCAAATATGTGCTGTAAAGCAAAAAAATCATCATGTCAAGATGACCAACGACTGGGAGAGGGGCATTTTATCTGAATAACTGACCGAGGAAAGCCCATCGTCATTCTTAACATTCACATAATGGTGCACCTTGCTCAGCTGGTCTATCTTTAACACACTGCGCATCTCTTGATAATGGAAAAAACTGCGCTTGTTCCCCCCCACTTAATTATGGTATATTACAATCGTTAAGACATGATGTAAATAATCTCATCATGAATCTGCTAATTAATTTCACTGACCCTTCTGGTTGGTTAATTAGCTCTTTCAAACAGGGTCGTAACAAGCTAATAACTCGATTAACATAAAGTTGCCACAATTCCCCTTAACTAGAACTTCCATGTGCCCCCTGAATGCGTAGAGTGAGAGTGACATTTGCAATGCACTCCTGGACCTATCTCCATAACAAGGCTGCATTACGCACATTCCTCTCCATTTCAGCATGTCTTGTGCTGTTGATTTTCCACTATGTATACACCAAGATGTATTTGTATTGGTGCTTTTCCACATTGACAGAAAGATGTTTCATGTCTCATATTCAATGTTAACCCTTCATTCTTATAATACGCTTCTAATAAAGCACAATAACTGCAGTCTAATTTGTGTTTTAGTGGTAGAGGTGTGATAGCTTTCCAAAAAAGAACTGCTTGTTATTATCAGTGGACCTTTGGATCTGCATGGACTCATCTTAAGGATGTATGTTTTAATGCTGGCATCCTCGATGTTGTTAACAAAAATTGATCAGTCGGAAAACATTCCAGATGAGAGTTTTCATCATCCGGCGCCTGCCTGTCATCTGTCGCTAGTTGCTTTTATCCAGCGCAGGTGAGGAGGGGGCTGATGGTCAGACACTAGGTCTGGCTTGCTTTACACTGGAGCCGCTAGTAACTGCTGATTCCCTGACGTCATCACCTCTATAGTGCTGAGAGAGAAAACCGGGGATATAAGCTAAGCGCCTGGACCACTACAACTTACAGTCACCAACAGTCTCCAACACATAGATCGCACATTATGAAAAGTTATTATTAGTATCGTTACGTCTAATTAACCTGCCTCCCTGGCTGGGCTGGCAGTGTAGGTGAGGCTACATCACTGCCAACAAAGAGGTCAGGTTAATCTATAGGACAACGCACAAAATACGTTTCAATTTAAGCAGCAAATTACCTGGACTTTCATGCTTAAAAGGTTTTGAATTTATGTTTAATACCTTTCCCCTTTCGCACCTAACCTTCAGAATGGGCTTTACCTGGAGGGGGCAGGTTGGGACAGGTGGAATCCCTGTCTGGTGGATCCAGAGCCCATGGAGATGGGGATAAGCCAGTGAAAAAAATCAAAAAGATGCCAGACAGTGAGTTCAAATCATCTTACCATTTCAGTTCTGACACATTTATCTGTTTTTTTTTTTTTCTTAATGTTTCAGTGTGGTTTCACTGTGTGAGCTCATGCTGTTTTGTTTATGTTGGCAGATATTTACCCGTGTCTCGTCTATTACATTCCTGCACGTACAACTACGATCCAGAGCGGTCGCTCCAGAGCAAAATTTAATTTAATTTGTTCGCTCCCGTCTTTGTTTCCCTCTAATATCCAGTAGAATGTTTCTGATCAACACTCCTGGGTGAGTAATCCAACATTTTAACTAAAATTATCCTTGAAATATCTGGACCAACCTGATGTGATTGGTTAGAAAATGTCTGCCTTTTTTGACTGTCACCTAAAATAATTTAAAGCCACTGAAATAACACAAAACATTTTAACAGTGATGGTAGGTTTACAGAATTTAGAGCTAGATGATGCAAACCAAGCATTGCTAAACATAAAAACTAATAACAAATCAGAACAACCTTATTTATTTAAAGAAACTTAACTTACCTCCTCTCATGGGTTTAAGGAGAAGCATGCACTGAAGACTTTGAATATTCCAATTAAGTTTGAGGAAAATATTAAAAATGTATTTTTGACACTAATCCTAATCTGACAAAAGCCAGTTCAAAGTAGGTTGGGGAAAAAATTGTGTTTGCAATATAACAAAAATATTTTTGAATCGCAGAGGCACTTAAGTTTGGTCACTGTCACATGCTCGTCAGTTGGCCAAGCAGTCTTGAAGGTGGGACGCAAACCGGTTGAAAGGAGTCCATGCCCCAAAGGGTTTTCAGCTAACAAGTCATACATTTTTTTCTGGTGCAAGACATCAACCAAAACCACACCAACAACAAGAACAATGGCAGACAAGTTTCATATATAGTGGAACTAAATTGGAAGAAACCATTTTTAAAAGGATGTACAGCTGCACAATAACAAGAAGAAAAAGACACTTTGTTTAAAATGAACAGCTAATTAAGAAATACCTTTACCAATAAATACAGAAAACAAATATTTCAATTCAACCCAAACAAATACTCAAACTCAATATAGAAAACACCATAAATGGGATTAACCTCCCCCCTTCAATTCTCAAATGGTGCAGTCCTGTACACACCTCCTTGGAGAGTGAAATAGCAGAGGTGAGTATTTTACAATGAGTTTTGATACTTTAACTCTTTAATCCATGGATTTCCCTTTAAGAAGAGTTAAACAAAAACAAAATATTGTAAAGTGAAATCAATTTACCTTTTTACGAAAATGAAAACAAGATGTGTCCTACCAAAGAACAACACCCCAAACAAATCATCTAGACCCAAAACAACTAAAATAAACCACTGTAGAAAACCAGATGCTGTGTTTAACTGTTACTTTAGCTCATTGTTACAGTCACATTAGTTTCCCCACTGTTGAGCATTGTCTTTAGACCCAAGCAAGTAGTGTGACAAGTGACGCCTCTGTCTACCTTCAATCTAGCTGCAATCCTATACTGACAGCGCCCCACCTCCACTTTCTCCTGGATTCCCCAAAATGTATTGATTCATGACATGAACAATTGAGTAATTTGGGGTTTAAAAATCCCAAATGTAGATTAAAAACATATTTTTGCAGTATTATAAGCTTTACTCTATTAATGTGTAGATAAAATCACATTAATACGTTATATTTTGTTAATAATAAAATATATAACAATAATTCATTTGATTTATCAGCACTTTTAATAAAATTAATATACTTTACAAGGTTGTTGAAAGTTAAAATACGGTGGAGGATCTTGAAGTGGATCTGCTGTTTTATGGAGCGAGTGAAGGTGTTTTAGCAGGGCTGTTACACAGTTCTTTGAATGTAACTTACAATTTGACTTTTAGAAGAAATCTCTTATGTCTCTCTTTATTTTCTTAAACACCATGGCTGAGAGTCTAGTCACCAAACACACGCACGCACATGAGACCAATTCAAAGATTTGTATAAATGAATTCACCTGATTTTACAACCCTTCTAGATTACGTAACCTAAGAGAAGAAAAAATGCCCTCACCATCTGTCGTCTTTTGCAGAGCCACATTTTCCTACAAGACCGTAACTGCTTGACCGTTTGAAATGTCTCAAAAATCAAGTATGTAGCAGAGAAAAACACTCATGACTCTACAGTTCTATTTACGGTAGCGCATAGGCCTTAAGCAGTGCTGTAACCATCAATCGCCAAACTCATTCAGTGGCACATCAGATATTTGTAAAGTGAGATTCTCAGGAGTGACAGCAGTAACATCCAAGCACAAAAGTGAAGACAGAGGGCCAATCAGGAGCATGTAGGTCGTCTAAACTTCATGAAACGGGCTCCGGCTGCGGTTCTCAGCTTGGTGCTAGTGCCAGACGATTGTTTGTTTAATTTCCGTTCAATTCAGTTTATTTATATAGTACCAATTCACAACACATGTCATCTCAAGGCTCTTTACAGTTCACCAGATCATACAATCAGATTGATTGTTTACTGCTTACTAACATTGTTTTTTGGCAGTGCAAGGAACATGTCCCCCCCCATACAGGTTGTTAAAAGTCCGTCTGTTTCTTTAGTACCACATTACCCATGATGCATCTGTTCATTTTGTAGTTCTAATTTTACGTAGCTGAATAAGTTGTGTTTTCCATGCTTCTGGGTGGTTCGGTGGCACAAAATAGCATCCACCATTAATCCTACTTCAATCCAGTGTGTATGAAACCTGTGTGCGTTCTTTACGATGTAAGTATACATTTTAAGTCCGATATTGTGTTTTTTTCTGTCAGTTATTAACCCAGGAGGTTAAATTGTTATTTAGTTTCTCTGGTTACTGACAATGCAAGAATATACTTAAAATAACTCAAGTTCTTTGTTACACTTTGCTAGATATATTTCCATTTTATTAGTAAATGAGGGCATCGCCATTTATTTCATATTTTCCGACGGTTTTGTCAGTTAAATGCTTATTACGTTTGATCAATAATGCATGTGTGATGTGATGGCGACCTCCAGTGGATTTATTTGGTATTACAAGCCAATTTCATCCTTCATCTATATGCCCCTGTTTAGCCTGCATAGCTATAAATATGCATATTTATTGTTTATTCTGTTTCAGATAACCACACATCCATATACATATCCCTAAGAAAACCAAATATAAACCTCATCATCTGTACCATCATCTCCAATGTACCTGCTTCTATTCCATTAATAAACCTTTTGAGCTGCACCGATGGAGTTGACATATTCCTTCTGACCGAGGAAGATTCAACTGATGAGATATCTGGAACTAGTGCATCTAAACGCACACAGTCTTCTACACAGGTACCCCCAAATTACATCCGGGCCTCCAACCATTAAGCCACTGTTACACCTGCTGCCAAATTCCAGTGAAATCCCACATCCTCTGTAACCGCCCTGCTCCATTCCAGACAGCCTGTGCAAAGCAAAGCCTGAAGCCTCCGCTCTGACTTCCCTGGAGCTCGAGGAGAGCATTCTCGATATTACTATTATTATTACATTCGTAGGAGAAAAACATTTGGAAATGAACACTTAATTAGATATGACAAAATCAAAACTCACCATCAGCACTGCTGGTTGTTGGTCTTTGTAATAGGGATAATTAGGATAATAAAAAATGGGTTCGTTCTCTACTTCCAAACTCAACATCTCTGAAGATTTTGCCAGGCTATCAATTCCCTTTAACAGCACCCCTTTCAGAGACATAGACAGGTATGGGGCATTGCAGGCGAACAAAGGAGCCAAACGATCCCTATTCCAAAGGGGTGGACCTGTTCGTCCGTTTCAAAAACAAGGCTTTGTTTTGGGCTACTGTATAAAGCCTCGAACTCAACGCTATTTCTGACATTTTGAATTGAAAAAGCTGGATAGGAAGCAAAATGTTTTCAAACTTGGAAACAAAGTCCAGTGGATTGTTTTTTTTATTTTTTTTTTTTACTTTTTTTAGTTTGATCTGCCATCAAGGCCATAGGCTTTGCTCAGTCAGCGAAACATGTTTGACTTTCAGAGGAAAAAAAGCCAAAAAAAGGAAAGAAAAAAAAAAGGTTGGACTTTGACAGGAAGCAAATGTATTTAACCTCCCAAATAACAGATGTACAAGTAGACGAACAGTGAATATTCACAATGAAAGCGGTTATATTCTTTTGTCTTTTTGAATATGCTTTCGCAGCGATGTGCCTATGCGTAAGTAATCACACAAAACATTCTTGTTGTTCACATATATATTGTCAAGCAAGGAATGCCTTTATTCTGCTGCTTATAATCTATTATATCATACCCTGGTTTGCTTTGGCAGTAAACATATTTCTCTGACATCACTAAAATACATTTCTGTTTTCTATGTAACAGGATCTATGTTAAATCAAAATGGATATAAGTGTAGATGAATGTTCACAGAACCAAAAACCATATGTCATTTTTAGAAACAATCTAGAAAACATAATTATTTCGGTGGTAAAGGCTGCTATCTTCAAGCTATTCTGCTTTAGTATCTTAATATGAAAGATTTTTACTGCTTCATTCAGTTTTTTTCTGACTAACTTGCATTATATTTAAATACTGTTTCAGGGAGGAAAAGGTTGCTGTGTGTCATTGGATGATTCAAACAAGACCAAATCAACAGTCTCACCAGTATGTTATTTTGCTGGTAAAATGTTACATATTTTTGATTATCTTTTTTCTTTGGTCTCTTTTCATCTTTGATAAGTTGCATATTGTTCAGTTGTGTACTTTTGCAACACATATCTGTGTATCAATGCTCTGCAATTTTGTTAAACAGCGTTTAAATTCTCTCTGAAATTGCTGTTGTATTCATTTTCCCACCCTCAGGAAACCATAATTTATGTTGCTAACTTATGTTATTTGTTATTAAATCAATAACAGATGATCTGATACCTCATACAGGTAAGGTATGGCTCACCTGTATGAGGGAACTTTGTAAATATCAATTAAATCTAAAGTGAATTTTTTTCCTTTCCTTTAGGTACATTTTATAAAATGTCTAATGTAATATAGATATGATTAATAATTTAAAATCAACATCAGGGTATGATACATTATATGAATAAATACATGTCAGTTCAATTTACACTGATAAATCTGTTTCGATCCCTATTCAAAGATCAACACTTTGGAACCAAATTTATGCTTCTTCTATGAACTGCTGTTTATTCACATTTCACGTCAAGTTAAAAGTAAAAAACTGCCAATTGAAACGGTGATTATGTCATTAAATAGCATTTGCAACCCAAACTTTTGCTAACCTATTTATTTCTCTAGTTAAAGTTTTTTAAACTGCTAATGTGGCAGAATTGCAAAATTTGGTTTTCATTAAACGGTTTTTGTCAAAAATGTAATTAAGTCTGAATTTCTAACTAATAAGCTAACGAATAATATAATTGCAGTCTATATTTAACTAAAGCACTATAAAGCAAAGATAGTACTTTAAACGAAAGTTTTGTGGGCTGTGCCTCTTGTTCTAGTTTACAACTAGCCCCCCCACCAACACTACCTCTCCATGGAAAGGAACTTGGATTCCCATTGAAGGCAGGGTTGGCTTTCCTCCAAAAACTGTGAAAGAAAAGGTAAGAGCAATTAAACAGACAAAAAAAGTCATACTACTTTTGGTGCAAAAAAAAAAAAAAACAACAACAACAAAAAAAACAACATAAAACATTTAGACTTGTGGTGCAAAAAAACAAAATAGAAAAAAACGTACTTACTTACACCATGTCCCATAAATTTAAAAATTCCGACAGTCTCTAACGACTAGTGGATTATGGGCCGCATTTTTAAAAAGTTTCCCTGTATTAAAACACAGGCCAAATTGTTTGCATTTGCAAATATGTGCAATGGCTTTCATAATTATTCAGATCATATTCTTGTGCGCGCACAAATATATGGGTGAAAAACATGCAAATAATATACTTGCTATCGACAGAGAAATTCATTAAACCTGAAAGTAATACCTCTGGTATATTAGGTGGTAATAAGTTACATTTACTCAATTTGAAAAAAAAAAAAACTAAAAAGGTACTTTTAGTAGTAGGTTTGCTCTGCCATAGTTTTTACTTTTACTTGAGTAAAATCTGACTACTCTGTCTTCTGTAAGCAATTTAAACTATTCCAAAATCAGGTAAACATACAGTAAATGGTAGATGTTAACTAGGGGTGGAACGGTTCACAAAATCCACGGTTCGGTTCGATTCACGGTTTCGTGGTCACGTTTTTCGGTTCGGTATATGTTGATTGTTACACCGAAATCCCATAAAAATTTATGAAATTAATGAAAAAATCCCCCCAAAAATAATGGATTGTAATTATTTTAAATGATCCGCGGAAACCCTGGATCATTTCCGTATGTTTTGCTGCTTTGAATTTAATCATCTGGCGCATGCTCTCTACCATCTCCAAGGGACTCAGAGGGGAGCGGACGGGAGCCACAGTGGGGGCTGCAGGCTTTGCTTTGAGCAGCCTGTCTGGAGCGCAGCGGGGCGGAGCGGGGGTTGCTGACGGAGTATGAGGGATTTCGGGGTTAGCATGACATGTTGGTCATGTTGCTGTTAGCATAAACAAAACGTGTTGCACAATGCTTGCACACTGATGCACTTTTATCCACAACTTTCTTTCCGCCGTCATCGTAGGTCACTCTAAATGCAAAGCGGTCCCATACACCAGACCTATAAAGTGCTGCTGGCGCGTCTTCCAACCCCTGTTCTTTCCCACTCGCCATTCCGACACAATTCTCCACAACAACTGATTTTTTTCCCTGCTACACCCGGCTAAGCTGCTTCGCTTCTTCTTCTTTTTGTTTACTACTGGTGGTTGACTTTGGTCGCAGTACCGCCACCTTCTGCTCTGGAGTGTAAACGCTTCGCCTATGAGAAAAAGGAGCAGCGCATGAACCGAACGAAACACACGCGAATCAAACCGAGACAGTCGAACCGAATCCGTGTATCATTCGTTCTTTCTATTTTCAATTGCCAATCAAAAAACAAAAAATAAAAAATTGACTGGTTATTTTGTTATTTGTTTTTTATGGTTAAACCAAAAACGAAAAAATGATTTGTTTTTCATATATCAACTCTAAGCTCAGATCAAGAATACGAAATGGAAAAACGGACAGCAACGCAGAATTTGTTTTTAATATTTAATCAGTACAGTTTACGTGACCCGGAAATAGCTCTTTGCGCAGCAGTTGGGGTAATGAAGTAGCTACCATGGCGACGCTAGAACCACACACTATGTTGATCGAGAAGCTGTTTGTTGTTGCTAGTTAAAAGTACAGTGCACAGAAAAGTTTCAAGAAAAAAGTTATACCTGGAAAATCCTGCAAATTTTCTCCGTTGTCATGTCCTCCTCAAGAGTCACACGCTTGGATCCTCGAAATAAAACGTAACTGTCCATGGCTGATAGGTCCGACTGCCTTATCTGGTGCAGTTTGATCGAACGTGGTGGGAGTAAGCCAATTGTTTTTTTAGCTAACGCTCCACCAAACTTCCGGGTCATGTAAACTGTACCGATTAAATATTAAAATCAAATTCTGCGTTGCTGTCCGTTTTTCCATTTCGTATTCTTGATCTGAGCTTAGAATTGAAATATGAAAAACCAATCCTTTTTTCGTTTTTGGTTTAACGATAAAAAACAAAAAACAAAATAACCAGTCAATTTTTTATTTTTTGTTTTTTGATTGGCAATTGAAAATAGAAAGAACGAATGATACACGGATTGAACCGAATAGGTTCGGACGGTTTTCATAAATCGTCTCATCCCTAATATTAACAGTGGAAGTTTGTTACCTTTTTCTACAGTTCTCATGTGTGGATTGTTTTATTTTTTTATATTTTTATGTAGAAAAATAGAAAATTGGTGAAAGTATTTCTTCTCTATGTTTTTTTTATATTCATAACATTTATTTGTATTCTTTAGGTGTTTGAGTCTTTAAAACAACAGAACTTGTACATAAAGTCTTTTTGACAGCATCATCTCTAAAAATTAAATCCAATGTTAGCACCAACATTTACACAGTAGTTAACTAGCCTTTTTACCAAATACTTTTACATGAGTCATTTCTTGGATGAATACTTTTTACTTTTATATGAGTAAAAATAAATTTTAAAGTAGTGCTACTCTTACTTGTGTTCAATTTGTGGGTACTCTACCCACCTCTTTTGCTCCAAGGTTACTTGTTGAGAACCACAGTGGTCAGTGCAAGGACTAATTCTTTTGTATTTATCTATACACACATAAACATTTTAGGTGCATTTCCACTGTGAGAGGCATAATCTAAAAAAAAGAAAATCCAGAAATCACTACGAATATTTTTAAACTATTTATTTGTATGGTACAGCTGCAAATGAGTATTTGAACACCTGAGGGTTTTGCAGACACTGCAGGAGGGATTTTTGCCCACTCCTTCACACAGATCTTTTCTAGATCAGACAGGTTTCTGGGCTGTTGCTGAGAAACATGGAGTTTTAGCTCATTCCAAAAATTCTCTATTGCCTTTAGATCTGGAGACTGGCTAGGTCACGCCAGAATCTTGATATGTTTCTTACAGAGCCACTCATTGGTTACCCTGGCTGGCCTTGACCCATCTTTAATGCTCTAACTGAGGGAAGGAGGATTGTTCCCCAAAATCTAGCAATACAGGTGTTGTTGTTGTAGGTGATTTGGTCGTGCATAAGCGGAGATAGCATACTCTTCAAAACAATGTTTAATAAAATGTGCTTGTTCACAAACTGATGGAAATTTCATCATTAGTACTTACTTTGTGTCATTTGACATTTAATTTTTTATTTCAGGTGAAGTGTCTAACCTCATCAATGCTTCATCATTACAGAACCATACATGAGAAATCATATCTCAAACAGATCAGCCATCACTACAAAAGTACATACATTTTTACCTAAAATTATTTGACGCTATTTATCAATTCCAAAATTGAAACAGAAAAAAATGTAATTATCTTGATTTTATACTTTATTGTTTATGCTATCTAAATTATCTGACGAAGAAACCGCCTTAAACCAGACACTGTGAAAAAAGTCCTATTTTTTTATAGAAATAACTAACACCCAAATATAGAAATTAAAAATGTAGTTGTTTGATCAGCAATCAAACTGTCTCACACAGGAGAAACAGACTGAATGCTGTTGCAAGAATGAACTTCTGTCGGCAACTTTTGAGATTTAAAGGTTCTCAAGGAGCACCAGTAAAAGACTATTTAGAGTTAAAGTGTTACAGGAAATAAGTAATGAAGACAGCATACAGTCCATCTTCTTTGCAAAAAACATTCCATGACATTGCAGCAGAAAGTCAACATATTAGAAGGATTATTTTTGGTATAAGTAATTTTAATAAACTAAGAGTAAGGACATATTTGCAAATTAAAAAATGTAATTTTGACAATATTGCTTTCATTGCTTTTACTGATTTTTTAAAATATGAGGGTTTTACTAGTGTCTGTGCTGCTCAAAAGTGAACAATTAATGAAGCATTAAGTAACAAACCTTTAGGCAAAGCATTGGGTTAAAAGGCCTCATTGCTTTGTGATGCATCATTTGGCAATAAATGCTCTGAGGTCCATAGGCAGCATGGGTAACAATGAGGCAATCAGAAACACTCAGGTATACTAGAGAACTCTCATCACAGGCTCATTTAATATGGTGAGAGATTTAAGGCTGGTTAAATAGAGGTTGAAGCATGTGGATCAGATGAACAGTAATGAGAGCTGGGCGGAGATAGACAGGTGAATGGAATGAGTAATCAAACCAGTCATCAGCGCCCAGATCATGACAGCTACATGTTTATCTAAAGTCCAAAAGAAGACCAAAAAATAATCTTCAAGTTATTTCATTGTTGGTGTTGCTTTATTAAAGAGCAGAGGCCTAGTCCTCAAAAGCTGAATTCAGAAATTCCACGATAATTAAAGAGAATAAAGAGTCTCTCTGTAGTGTAGTGGTTCATGTCTTTGCCTTCAATGTGGGAGATTCATTGAATCCTGGGTACTTCATTAAAGTCATCTAGCATCAGAAACTTAAATAGATGGTGTGATTTATCACTTTTTTGTTACCACATTCTGTTGCTCCCAAGATTCACACCAGCAGAAACTCTCGCCCCAGACTTAAACAAAAGGCACAGGCTTGGAAGTAGTTAGAATTGAAAGGTAATGTAATTCTTATAACACATTTTACTTGTATTTGACTGGCCTAATTAGAACTCATTCCTACATAAAAGTTTAGATTTTCTGTTAAAAAAATAAGCTTTATGTGCTCCAGAGGGATGTTTTATCTTAATCTGTGTGCAGTCCAGAGAACAAATTTACGGAAGAGGATTAGGGCCACTGAAAAAATAAAAAAAGTAAACTGATTTTTAAATTTTATTTCAGTTTAACATGGGAAAAAAGTCAGAATTCTGAGATTAAAGTCAGAATTCTGACTTTTTTCTCAGAATTCTGACTTTTTTCTCAGAATTCTGACTTTAATCTCAGAATTCTGACCTTTTTCTCAGAATTCTGACTGAATTCTGACAATAAAAAAAGTCAGAATTCTGAGATTAAAGTCAGAATTCTGAGAAAAAAGTCAGAATTCTGACTTTAATCTCAGAATTCTGAGAAAAAAGTCAGAATTCTGACTTTAATCTCAGAATTCTGAGAAAAAAGTCAGAATTCTGACTTTAATCTCAGAATTCTGAGAAAAAAGTCAGAATTCTGACATTAAAGTCAGAATTCTGACTTTTTCCCCATACTATACTGAAATAAAATAAAAAAAATCAGTTAACTTTTTTTTTTTTTTCCAGTGGCCCTAATCCTCTTCCGTACAAATTAAATCCTTGATAAAAAAAAAAAAAAAAAAAAAGCCGGCCATCTGTTCCAGTTTGGTGCAATACTGAATCCCACATTGATATAGTTATTTTGTCTGTAGGACGGTTATGAAGAATTGCATTTTATTTTAATGCCAGATATATATTTCTGATGTGGTAAATATTGTCTTTGCCAAGATTTTCAGCATCTACTACATACAGAAACTAGCACAAAATCCAAGCCAAACACAGGTCTTCTGTGTAATGGTGAAAGGCTCGGCTCTGTACTGTGCGATGCTGAATTATAACTCCTACCCTGATTAGGAACAGAGGCTTTCCCCAGAAAAGTCTATAGAGAAAAGTCTATAAATGTCTAGAAGATTTAAACACAGCAATAGACTATTAAAGGCATTTCTATCAAACTTAAAAAACATTCAAATAATCTTTAAAAACACATTGAACGGAAAAAATATCTTGGGGAGCATCCATCCGTTCGTCCAGCCATCCATCCATCCAGACACACATAGACAGACAGACAGACCCTGGAGTTCCAGTGATGTAGAAGACCTTCTGCCTTGTTTCAGTGTCTTCAAGGACCTGCCACCCTGACATCCCACATCATGAAGGTCCTAACTAGGCCTCAGCAAGCAAACAAGCAGCTACCAAGACCTCCTGCTGTTTGCTTATCTCCACGGAGTTGGAGTTGATGATGCCATTATACACCTGCATCAACAAACCCACTGTGTTTAGACAATGATGACAGCACTTTGAGTATCATGTTCTTGTCAAGTAGAGTGGAGGTTTTGGAGGACCCAAATGCAGAGATACAGTTCTTTGATTTCTCCAGTACATTTAATACAATTCAGCCTGATTTACTTTGTGAGAAACTTCAGAAGACTCAAGTGGAGGCATCAACAACTTTGCTAAGCTTTTAGTTCCAGATTATTCATTTATATTGATTATATATATTAATCATTCTTGGTAGAAATGAATTCTGTTTTAATTTCTAAATTAGGAGTGTTGTGTTTAAATAAAGATTTATGTAATATCCATGTAGAAAATAAGGATAATAATGATGAGTTGTTTATAAAGCTTTGCCTTTAATATTCCAGAACCAAGAAAAATCTGAAAAAAGTCCCCACAATGGACGTTTTCCATTCCCAACCAAGTGAGATGTGGACGAGGTAATGTATAACAATGTACAACACAACCTCCTATGGAAAACTATACAAGCAGGTGAGGTGAAGAAGCATGCTTATTAAATGGTTTTCGATCTCTTATTTGCAGAAAATTGCCAAACAAAGGAAGGAGTCTGGGTCCATATAAGAAAAACATCTGTGCTCCTACCTTCAGAACAGGATGGTTCTACTGATGTTCTGTTTCTCTCTAAATAAAATATTAAAGTCATGTGTTTAAGACACATTTAATCAGATAATACTTGGACTGTCATATACTGTTTATGAACACAGGCCCTAATTACTGTATGCTAGAACAACAAATGAAAGTGTGAATAGAGCTCAAATTGTCAAGGTTTGGTGGAAGTTGATTGAGGACCCAAATGCAGAGATGAGGAGGCAGAGACGGGTTCTAGCAGATTTAATTGAAGAACAAAAATCCTAGTCCATAACAAAAAAAAACCCACCTAGGGTATACAGACAGGGAACCAGGGGAACCAAGAAACAAAAATCAGAGTCTGAAACAATCCAAATGCAAAAAAACCCACCAAAGGCGGGCAACGGTGAGGCAGAGTCTCTGGAGGCCGGCGTTGGGGCTGGAGACAAGGAAGAGTCTCTTGAGGCCGGCCGCAGGGCTGGAGGTGAAGTCTCAGGAGGCTGGTTGCAAGTTTGTAGACAAAGGAGGGCCTCTGAAGGACAGCCACAAGGATGGTGACAAAACAGGACCTCTGGAGGACTGTTGCAAGGATTGTGAAGAAGGAGAGCCTCTGGTGGAGGACCGCAAGGACTACAACAAAGGAGGTTCTCTGGAGGACGGCTGCAAGGACGGCAATAAAGAAGGACCTCTGAAGGTTTGCCGTGAGGGCATTGATGAAGAGGAGTCGCTGGAGGGTGGCTGGGAGGATGCTGACTCATCAGTAGAAACCTTGGAGGCCGCCGTCTCAGCAGCAGGAACCTAAGAAGAGGCAGTGCAGCTTGGGACCCAAGAAAAGGCATAGCAGCTTGAGACACATAAAGAGGCAAACACAAAAACCTCTTTCCACTGGCTGCCAGGATCCAGGACATGAACCAAGGCAAAAACTGAACAGACAGAAATTCTAGAAAGCTGTTTAATATGGGATTTAAATGAATAGTCTTAATCTGCTTGTTTGTTGTTTGCAGCAAAGTGTGAGCACTAGCCTGGCTAGTTGGAATAGAAGGAACACCAGTGAATAAAAGGCTGTTTGGGTACATTTAACCCTTAAGTTAAGGTGGTAGTTTGGAGATTTCCAGCAGCTACCTTTGAGTTCTCTTTTCAATTTACCTTGGAGGATTTTAAGAGTTTGCCACGGGAAAAGCAGACCAGTGATATCCAGGATTATTACAAAGCAATTACTAATACTAATAATAATAGCTTATGCTTAATTTTTCTCTCTACCCTTCCAAACGATGAAACTGTTTTATATTGACCTTGGCTCCACACTGCAGTCAAAGTTAAGCAAAGAGTGGGGCAACACAGTATTTAGTCATCCACTGATTGTGAAAGTCCTCCTACTCAGAAAGATGAGAGAGATCTGTAATGTTAATTTTAAATACATTTCAACTATGAGAGACAAAATAAACAAAAACAAAAATCACTGTAAAAGAATTTAAAATACTGGGCTAAGATTAAAACGTGGGCAGCAAAAATCAATCAGTTTTGAAATAAAGCAAAAAAGTTTGGAATAATATGTGGCAGACAGAGTAGAAGCAACGTGACTGAAGATTTTAGTTAAGCTACCCAATATGTTTAAATACAACTTAATTTGTCCCTTCCTCTTAGGTTTAAGAACCAGTCTATTGTAGCAATTTGCCCATGAAAGCTTTGCAAAAAACACAAGAGTGAGCAAACAGAGGCCAACTGTAACTGAAACAGTAACTTGACACAACATAGATTTGTGGTTTACACAGTACAAAAAAAAGATTCCAAAATGCAGTGGTGGTTGTTATCCCTGTCCTGTGTTCTCCTCCATTGCAACCTGATTGACTGAATGACTGGCAGCCTTGCCAATTACCCGTTGCTGACCTATTACCCATCTCCTGAACAAAATAAAATTTATATTTTGGAAATATAAGCGGCACTAAGTTAAATACCCTCTCTGTTTGATCTGCCACAAAGCATGTTTGACTTTCAGGAAAACACACATACACACACAAAACAAACAAAAGAAAAAATATTAATAGAAAAGATAAAAAATCAGTTGGATTTGGTAGAATGTGCAGAAGCAATGTTACTGCTAATGTGTATAGCCTTATTCGTGACTCAGTAAAAGGCCTTATACTTACTTAGCAACACAGAAAATACAGTGGACAGGGTGTTTGAACCCTAGGTCTTGGCAAAACATATTTTTCCTATTTAAGTATCAGACTGAACTTTGGCCAGCACACACACACACTAAGATTGCGACAGAACATCAGTGCACATTCATCTACATAGTGTGATAAAGAGAGTATAAAAGCAGCTTAAAACGGGGAGAGGGTTGGGGGGAAAAGCTGAGAATGTCTGTGATGAAGTAGCGCTGGATGTGTGAAGTTTTAGACAGCTGTTGGAATTGGATTAATCAATAAATATTTTCCCCCCTCCAGAGGACAAAATTGTGTGAGATATTTTAAAGTGTTCTTTCTGAATTTTACCATTCAGCATGAGAGCATTTATATTCTTTTGTTTCTTTCAATGCAGCGCTGCAAGTCTTTGCCTAAACGTAAGTAAAGAAACAGAGCAGTACTCTTGTTTAGTTAAATGATTCCAAGCAACTAAGGTCACTATGTTATCGTTTGGATGTCTTTATTTTTTTGTTTAATAATCCATAATGGATGATTATAAAGGATGATGATTATTTATGTAGATGTGTCCTGGCAGCAGAAAAACACAAAATACTAATGTAGATAGTAAATTCCGGGTCTTTCCTAGATAACATTGTTGGTGGCGTACTTTGGTGGCGCAGTGGTTAGTACGGTGGCCCTGAGGTGCAAAACACAACACAAAAAGAGAAAACACAACACAAAAAGAAAATACAACGGCAAATAGGAAAACACAACACAAAAAGAAAAAACACAACACAAAAAGAAAACACAACGGCAAATAGGAAAACACAACACAAAAAGAGAAAACACAACGGCAAATCAGAAAACACAACACAAAAAGAGAAAACACAACGGCAAAACTGAAAACACAACACAAAAAGAGAAAAGACAACACAAAAAGAGAACGCACAACCCAAAAAGAGAAAACACAACACAAAAAGAGAAAACACAACGGCAAATCGGAAAACACAACGGCAAATCAGAAAACACAACACAAAAAGAGAAAACACAACGGCAAATCAGAAAACACAACACAAAAAGAGAAAACACAACCCAAAAAAAGAGAAAACACGACACAAAAAGAGAAAACACAACGGCAAATCGGAAAACACAACGGCAAATCAGAAAACACAACACAAAAAGAGAAAACACAACGGCAAATCGGAAAACACAACGGCAAATCAGAAAACACAACACAAAAAGAGAAAACACAACGGCAAATCAGAAAACACAACACAAAAAGAGAAAACACAACCCAAAAAAAGAGAAAACACGACACAAAAAGAGAAAACACAACGGCAAATCGGAAAACACAACGGCAAATCAGAAAACACAACACAAAAAGAGAAAACACAACACAAAAAGAGAAAACACAACGGCAAATCAGAAAACACAACACAAAAAGAGAAAACACAACACAAAAAGACAAAACACAACGGCAAATCAGAAAACACAACACAAAAAAGGGAAAACACAACACAAATCAGTTTCTAGTAAGTCGGCTGATGTCAAAACGCCCTGCTAGAAATTGATTAAAGGCCAAATGTGGTTGAAGAAAGGTCATTTTTGCCTAAAAAAGGACTTGTTCTATTTAAAATAAGATGCTTCTGAATGAAATCAAGTCATATTTGGGCAGATATCCCTTTTGAATGAGAGTATTTGGGCTTTAATACATTTTTTGCAAGTCAAAATGGCTATTTTGTGTTGTAATGGTCCTTTAAAAGAGTTCCAAGCTGTTTTATGAGCTCAGATCTTTAAATCATGCATCTCCTGAAGGAAATCTAGTCATATTTAGGTAGAAATAACCTTTGAGTGACTATACTGTGCCTTCAATCAATTTTTGACAAGTGAAAACCGATTGAAAACTGCAAAACACATAGAAAAATGGGAAACTCGTGCTATATACGGCCAGATCAGATAAAAAACAATGCAGAGTCACGAGGATCGTTGCAAAAGGTATCATATCTTTATTGAAAACCCTCCAGTAAATCATATTTATTGTAGTGTAGTCTCCAATGTCAGGGCTACACAAAGTCATCAGACCGAGTATAGAAACATGTTTATCACGTAACTGCCGTTATGTGACAACAATAAGCTTTCGAATCTTTAATTAGGCCTATATTATAATTTAATTAGGCCTATATTATAATGCAACTGTTTGTATCTGCATGTCATGACCGTTAAATCCAGAGAAAAGCAGGTTTACACTATCGCTCAGCGGGCTGCGGTGCACGCTCCCGCTCCCGCAATCAGATTCTCGCAGACATTCACTTTTTCGCACAACACCGGCATCAAAGTATTGCTTAATAGCAGCGTGTACCTTGTCATTTGTGGCGCTCATGATTTGGAAAAATGGAAACAAACCCCGTCTTTCCGGTTCAAAGGACGGACCAGTTCTTTTGTCCAATCAGAGATGATTCCTGTCGCCCGAGGGTACCTAGCATTTCCGTTTTGGTTAATGTCGCTGTGTTTTCTCTTTTTGTGTTGTGTTTTCTCTTTTTGTGTTGTGTTGTGTTTTCTCTTTTTGTGTTGTGTTTTCTGATTTGCCGTTGTGTTTTCTCTTTTTGTGTTCTGTTGTGTTTTCTCTTTTTGTGTTGTGTTTTCTGATTTGCCGTTGTGTTTTCTCTTTTTGTGTTGTGTTTTCTCTTTTTGTGTTGTGTTTTCTCTTTTTGTGTTGTGTTTTCTCTTTTTGTGTTGTGTTTTCTGATTTGCCGTTGTGTTTTCTAAAAATTATTAAAGGTTACGACGAAATTTGACTGACTTTGATTTTTCAGTTGAAGTTATGTGTTTTGTAATTATGTATTAGTACCAATGCTTTATTGTGAATTATTTTTATGATGGTACAGGATAAGCAATAATAAGCCTTGGGGCCTTTTTCGATTGCTTTCTGATGGATTCTTTTGTAAAAAAAAATGTTAATGTCCTTGTCTTGTTTCTATT